CAGCGACTCTCTTCCAGCTCTCTGAGATGACATTGTGCTGTGCTCTTGACTGAGAGGCTGTGTAATTCTTCCAATCAGTCACACAGAGCTGGCCAGCAGCATGCTTGTCAGTCTGAAGCACTTGGACCTAGTGGTCCTCAGTAGTGTCACATTATTACTGAAGTCCCTCTGGATGTCATCATCTCCAGCCTCAGTCATCTGCACATCCTTCTCTGCCATACATCGCTTTAATGTGTAATATATCATCTTTTTTAACCTCTCAGTCATGTCCTGTCTTGTTTCATGTTTTTGTCAACAGCAGTATCATCAGTAGCTCACATGATAGTACAGTATGTCCTACAACTGAATGTAATTCTGTTTTGTCACATACAGTATAATCAACTGCTGTTGACCATGCAGGTATGTAGTTCTTTAATGGGGGACATCTTTTATGTTCTTTTACATCACCTACCCACATCTCTGCAATATTATAGCTTCATTCATAATAAAATAACAGGTTTATATCACTCACCCTAGTTCCCACACACACTCAAGTGCCCCACGCCAGTACAGCGCTAGTGTGCCAGTTTCAATGGGTGACATTTAATAAGGGCCTTTGCTTGCATTGCTTCTGTAATTGAGGGTTTTTGCTGTCTTCCACAGAGTGCGGAAATGAGTCCTGCCAGCAGCACCCATTCACTCCCCATCAGCCCGATCAGCGAGAAGTCGCTTCCTTTTAAGGTAAATGTGAATCTAAAATCAGCTAATCCATACAGCTGAAGAAGAAGACAGGGCAGTTAAGTCATTGACATTGGGTACATTGGTTACTATGGATACATTGGGTACATTGCATACACTGTGTACATTGGGTCTTTTAGGTACAAGTACATTGTACATGAGTACATATGGGGTTCCATGGGTACATTGAGTGTTTTTGGTACACTGGATACATTGAGTACATCATACTGTATACATACTGTAGGGTACTCTGGGTACATTGGATACATTGAGTACACTGGGTACATTGGGTACATTGTGTACACTGGGTATGTTGGGTCCAATTGGTCTGTGATGTACACTGGTTACTGGGTCCATTGGGAACATTGACTACAGTGGGTTAATTGGGTACATTGTGTCCATTATGGAGTACATTGATACATTGGCACCCAGACATACCCAAGGTACCTAATGGTTACATTGGGTATCCAATATACCCATTATTCCCCATTATACCTAATGTATTAAATGCACCCAGTGTTCTCAATGCATCCAATGTACCTAGTGTACCTAATGGACACAATGGACCCAGTGTTCCCATGTACAGTACCTAATGTACCCTATGTTCTCAGGGTTCCCAATATAATCAATATACACAATGTACTCAATGTACCGAGTGTAGCCAATGTCCTCAAAGTACCCAATGTACCCAGTATTCCCAATTTACCCAATATATTCACTGTGCATCCATTGAAGGGTTTTGTGCTTTAGTGTTTAATGAAGTCGCACCATGGTTTGTTTCTTCTTTTTGACAGATTTATTTTCATTTTACAGCACTTAACATTGCAGTACATATGTTACTATAGTCACAATACACTAAAATATTACTGTATTTAATACTGTAGGTACGTGTAGTTTAATGTCAGTCATCTTTCCAGAAATAGGTATTTGCACTGGATAGAAAAAGTTTTCTTAGCCCTTGTCCTGGTGCCTGGAGTGCTGGATTATGTTCCAGATATTTACATTTTAAATACATCATTATCATTGTCATGATCATTCTGGGATTATTTTGATCATAGATTTCAACTCTATTCATATCTCAACAACTGGAAAAAGGTTAAGATAGTTTTAGCTGTTTGTTCTTTGTCTGGTTGTTGGTTTTCCTTTGTTTTTTTATGCATTATTATGTGTTTTGTGTTGATTTGTATGTTTATTAGTCATTGTACAGTAAGTCTTCTTAAATGAATGTTCCAAAATGTCTTAAATAAAATACTTAAAGAATATATAATCTATATTATGCTTTCATAATACTGTGCGTTTTATCAAAAAAGCATGGAAATAATGCATTTATCTGTTGCAAGAAGCATTGTTTCCAAATTAGATCTAATAAAAAGAATGAAGTGAGATTGCAGAGAAGAAGGAATTGACCAGTCATTTGCAGTGATTTCTCATAAGGTAGGCCAGGTAAGAGAGGGAGATGAAGGTTTTAAAGTGATGCAGCTGGAGGCAGGAGATACAGAGAAAGGCTCTTTGTTGTTATAGAGTCTAGAGGCCTCACAGCAGTCTAGAGGCAGCTCACCCTGATAAGACCCGGAGCCTTTCACCTCCACGTTTATGAAGCTTTTGCACTGGAATGGAATAAGAAATTACTACCAAGTTTCTGTTTTCTTGGTATCATAACCACCAACAAAGAGCAAAGAGTTCTTGAAAATTGCCAGTGCACCAGACCAGACCAGACCTATGACAAAATACTTTTTACTTTGCATTGTGCATTGGAACTACCTCTTTTTTTCATTAGCCTATCTTGCTTTTCACTACAATAGAAATGGTCCAAAACAGATTTCCCCCAAACAGAGCAGCTCTCTTATTAATATCCTGTTAATATCTATACAGTTATATAGAACTTGTCAGGACACTATACTCAAAGTGTTTTACAGGCAATGAGGACTCCCCTCCACCAACAGCATTATGTAGCCCCACATGGATGATGTGATGACAGTCATGGTGCGCCAGTACACTCACCACACATCAGCTATCAGTGGGGAGGAGAACAGAGTGATGAAGCCAGTTTATAGATGGGGTTTATTAGGGTGCCATGATTGGTAAAGGCCAATGGGAAATTTCACCAGGACCCTGGGGTAATACCCCTACTCTTTTTGAGAAGTGCCCTGGGATTTTTAATGACCACAGAGAGTCAGGACCTCAGTTTTACATCTCATTCGAAGGACGGCACCTTTTTACACCATAGTGTCCCTATCACTGTACTGGGGCATTAGGACCCACACATCCCGCAAGATGAGCACCCCCTGCTTGTCCCACCAAGATGTCTTCCAGCAGCAAGGGTGATATAGCTGCTGGCATAATAATATAATCATTCTCAGATAAGTTTCTTCAGCTCTAGCTAGGCGCTCGTCCTTTGCACCTGGGTATACTGATACTAATAGTCAAAGCTCAGTGTAGTGCAGCTTTGAAATAAGTAAATTAAGAAGGCCTTCGGGGAGATAAGTAGAGAGATACCAACACACTCTCATCCACTCAACTCTTAAGCAACTCTTTCTTTTCCTATATTAGCTATATTTCCTATATTTCCTATATTAGCAAATAATGAACAACCTCTTTTCCCTATAAAGAATAACATGTTGCATTAGGATAAAAAAACATACAGTATTTGGAATGGATATATTTGAGCACCAGGTATTTGGATATAAGAATACAAGCTTCACCAGTTGTTCAGCTGCTCAGAAATGTCACATTCTTTAAGGGCCTTATTCAACTAAAGTTCCCAAAGCTATGACAGGTGAATTATATTCTCTAATATGAAGAATAAACAAATGTATTCTAACTAAGGTCTACAAGGGAGTGAAGCTGAGTGACACTGAACTAAAAATGCAGAATTTGGTGCCTGTTAAATTACTTTGAAAATAATTTTGAAAATGTCAGTACTTTTAATGCCTAGCAGCTATTTCAATGGTTCCTTAACACAGCACAAATTTCAGTTTGTTATAATTTCTGTTTATATAAGCTTTAATCTCTCATTCTCACAAAGCTTTGGGTTTATTGACCTTAAATTTCTTCAGAAAGTTGTAGACATTACTTGTTTATAATATTGGCACCTCTCCAGCGCCTGTATCTGCTATATTGCACTGTATGTTGCTCTCAGTTTTATTCTGAGTATTTTAATGTTTACATGTCTCTTTATAAAGATTTTAAGCAGAGAGTGAGTTGCCACCTAGAATGGAAACTAGCAGAACCAGAACCCAAAGCTGTGTGGCAGTGATGTCATCTGTAGTGTCACTGCAGCGCCCACCTGCTCTCTTATAAGTAAAATTATTTTGTTTTTCTTTTCAGAAGAATGTTTTTTTACAGAAGCTCCATTTCAAGTCCCACTTGCGTTTTATTTCAAAAGTGAACCGCAGTCGTTTGTTCATGCCTTTTTGCCCCCGTGCGCCTGGCTGTGTGGGGTGAGAATGAAATCGAGAACACATAGAGTCTAAGCGTGGAGATTCCAGTGGGGGCAGAATTCAATTGTGTACACAATATGTGACACAGTGGGACAAAAAGATAGAAAGTCTGCAATCGAGAAGAGGCCAATATTACTATTACTATTTGTCATACAGATGTGCTTTCCCTGACATGCGATGTGCTCTATATTAGGTACTTTAATTATGGGCTAAAAATCGTAAGGCAGATTTATCTAAAGTTACGACAAGAAATTCAAATAATAGAATTAGCTATAATTAACATCATAAAGTGTTATAAAACAAAGCATCACAGGGCTTAAATAACATACGGGCCAGCTTTAATTACACGTCATGATTCTGAGGGCGCTGCAGCAGTACTAATGCTTTATTCGTCACTGTAATGGCTTGTAATTAACTTCAGGCCATTTGCGCAATGGCTGGCATTAAAACAAAAATGATAAGTAGTTATTTGTCTTTACTGGGAATCATGTGAGAAGTACATGTGGTGGTTGTGTGTCTGAAACACAGCGGCACAGGCACATTCAAAACATCGCTGTTGGTGCTACTGCTGCTGTTTTAGATGTTACAGACGTATTTCAGGTGATCCTGCACTTCATCAGGCTCTGTTTCTCCTCAGCCTGCTCTGGTAGCATGAGGTGTTCAGCCATCTACAAAATTGCCTTTTGCAATCCTCAGATTTCCCAAATGTTGTATAAAAAATCAACAACACATGGCCGAATGTCACTGATTTTGGATCTTGACAAAACAGGAAGGAAATGTGACTTGCACTTCCTGTTAAATTGAAACTTTATCTTGTTAAATATTGTTAGAATGAATACCGTACACTGACTATCAAGGGAATTGTCAGGGTTTAAGAGGATACCTTGAGAGAGGATGTGATTTATGGCTGTTTGTCTTTGGTCATCTGTGAGAAGCAGCATTTTGTTTGGTCATTCTTGTAATGTACATTTATGAGCCTTTCTTAGCCTTAGGTGTTTACATAAACTGAGGCAAAACAGTGAATTAAAAGCTGGATCACAAGGCAATGCTGAAACACGATTTTACTTCCTATCTGAGCCTTGAGCGGTGTCTGAACCAGGGTCTCTCCAGTAATCACATGTACTGTCATTGTACCACAGCCACTGGCTGCATTGGGAATGCTGTGTGTACTGTATATGATTTAGATTGCAAATATTGTTTTTTTTTTCTTGTCAGCCTGAGCTCGTTCTCAAGCTGCGTGGCCAGACCTTTCGCATGCAGTTAGATCTGGGAGGTGGGCCAGAAGGTGATTGTGCTTCGAGTTGCTCTTTGGGAAAACTTGCTCTTTTGGGAAAATATCAGCTCATCCCATGGGGACGCCTGTTCATGAGTGGTCATGAGGTCACTGCTTTCAGTTTTAAATGGTATCAGAATCATGGTTTGTCAGGGCTTTTTCAAAATAGCCTGACCACAAGGCAGGGACGCAAGTACCATACATATATGCTTAAAGAACTTAAAAGAAAGGTTAATGAGAAGAGGCCATTCTGTCCTTCTGGCTTGTTTGATTACTAGTTTGTAGTTTGT